CACACAGGTACTCCCTCCCTCCCTCCCTCCCTGAACTGCCAGTCTATGACTGGAGATGTGAAAATTTCCCAGGGTAATATCCACAGAAAGTGTACTTGCAGCTCTTCTTCCCTGCAGTCTAAAACATGACACGTGAATAGACCATGCCTACTGTAACTGAAGCTGCTCTCAACTGCCCCTTCAAAATAGCCGACTTCACCACCATGAGGGTCCTCCAGAAGAGCAGAGGTGTTTCTTGCTTATCCTGTACTGATGGTTTCCCTGAAGGCTACCTCTTGTTTGTTGGTTGGGTCCCCACATCTGGCATTTTCAGTGCATCTGTTGCTGCTGTAGCAGGGATGATACAGTCAGGAAACACTTCAGGCACCTTCTGTTGAAGTTCTGAACACTCATCTGAGACATGAGTGAAGCCACGTACTTTTGTTTCACAGGCTGTGAAAAGCCCATCATGATCAAATTGGACCACATCTCTGTCTTCAGGGTCCCCAAAGGTATATTCAGGGAAATATTTAACCCCCTCATTAGCCTTTGCAGGTTAACTTTAAGCATGGGAGCTTGAGAGTCCTCAACAACAGACATTCAAACCTCAACACATTTTCTAAGGAGAAAAGTGGGAATCAAACTTACAGGCTGAGCAAACCCAACAAGGTGAGTTTCTTCATATCACAACATGTGGTATGAGCATAATTCAGGAAACCTGCAGGTAGAGATATCTGGAACTGAGACGCTCCTTTGAGCTTCTACCAAAGTCATGGGAACATGAGCAAAACTGCTCAGTAGCCACCATTTGGTGCTCTACCCAGTTTAGTAGCACAAGGCATCCATGAGTGTTGGACAAAAGATGTGAGCAGATCATGTTGGTTTGGTTTTTTTCAAGAACCCATGCAAACTACACAAGATTTTAGTTCTGTTGTGGGCAGCTCCAGAGGTTCTGCCTTTCTACATAGAACTGCTCTTTGAATTACTCAAAGGCAGGAAGAAAAAGGAAGTGTTATAGTTCAAACTGTAGAAATGTTATTACAGCCAGATCTGTAAAACGGATGAAATACATTTTTTCAGACTGTAAGAGCGGCTTAATACATGTAATTCTCAGCAGCCCTAGTTAGAAAAGATAGTTGTAACATTTGGTCCAACAAGTGTAACTCATCTAGAGCTCCAGAGTACACTGCACAGACTAAGTATGATACATTTAGGATCTAATTAGCGCTGTTTGAGTTACAGCTGCTAGGAGCCCAGTTCTTTGGAAACGCAAGAAGAGGGGAAGGAAGTAAGATACATGATTTAAATAAAAAGAGAACACCATTTGTGTGGAAAGTCACCAGCCTATTTACCTTCTTGTTCTTTTCAAAAAAAATACTTAAACCTTAACAAAATTTCAGTACAATTAAGTGCATAAAATACCGATTCTGATGCAGAATTTATTACATAAATTAATATCAGTATGTTGACAGTATCTTTGTGAGTCACAAATGTGAACTATTAATAGAAAAATTCATGGATATTAAAAGAGTGGTTTCATGACAGCTATATTTTTGAATTTCTTAAAAAAAGGAATTATAGTTGTAGATAATTTTAGTGCCCTAGATGCATTTAATTTAGTAACAAAGCAAATGTTTCCTGTGAAATCCTGCCAGCAACTAGAAATTCCAGTTTCTTGCCAAGCATTAAAACATGCAGTCTTTGAGTGGAGTCACTTCTCCTGCATTTCTAATTTCAGTCAAGACAATAGAGTTGACCCTTTAAGGTTTTTTTCCTTTTCTGGGGGAAACTGAGGGGGAAACTTTTAGGGTATTATCTATATCTATACTTTTAAAAGCATATGCCTTTTTTCAGCTGTCTGGCTACTTCTACCAGTCAGTGAATCCTGATACACCTTTTTCTGTTTGACTAAAAGGCCAGATAGCATGTACTGATTTTCCTAACAGAACATTATTAAATCACACTTAACTTTTTCCAGGGTAAACTGAACAGATACCACACACTCATTTTCAGCTTCATCTTCAGTCTTCTAATTTTTCCCATAATGTGAATATCAATTCCTCCTTGTATTACAAAAATTAGCACAAGGCTTAGCATTTGCATCAGTCTTGCAAGAGTACTTTGTAAAGAGAAAATTATAAAAGAACTTCGCTTCTTCCTGGCATTCCTCTGTCTCTACACCCAGCAACTGCAATGAGATCTGTTTATTCCCAAAAGTCCTGGGTTTTACCTGAAATGTAAATGAACATTTTCCACGCTCCAAGGCAATATCTATCCCTGAGTGCAAGGGTGGTCTGAGATGCAGAAGACAGATTTGACAGGCAGTGTTGTCAGCCAGTAAAATGGATAGGTAAGCATCAAAAACTGACAGTATTTAAGGTCTGGGATACCCCCAAAAAAGCCTATGGCCACTTCTCTCTGCACATGTGTGGCTACAAACCATCAGGGACTATGGCTGTTCTTAAGCCTGACAGCAGCACATATGCAGCTACCTTATATATTTGGTGTGTTTTGTATCTCCAGATGATTTGTGTTTTTTATAATTGATTAATTCCAATAAAGATAAGCCTTAGACAGAAAAATTATCTGACAGTGGTAGTCAAAAAATAAAT